GTCCAATACGAGGTCGACGAGCGCTCGCTCTGCCTACAACCGATCGAGTCTCCTGAGGCTGGCGAGCAAAGGGCGAGCCAGGCCTTTCCACCAGAAGGTCTTTGTTCACAACCAACACGCCACTAATTTTTCCAGGTAAGGAGAAGGCGCCGGAGGTGTAGATTGGTGAGAGCTGTTTGGAGGTGTTACTTGGCGTGGTATTCTTGCGATGTTCTTGGGTGTTTTGGGGTGTTCTTGAGTGTTTTTCGGTGTGTTTTGGTAGTTCTTCGGGTGTTCTTGGGGGTGTTCGTTGGGGTGGTTTCTTGGGTGTGTTCTTGGGGGTGATCTGGGGTGTTCTTGGGGTTGGTGGCAGCTGTTATTTATCATTATTTTTTTGTTTATTATCCTTATATTGTTATTGTTGTTTTGATAATTATAATGATATAATAACAGTAGAAAAATAACGATAATCCGATAATCAATAATAATAAGAGGATAATAGCAAATAATGATATTGTTACTATTATTATCAATCTATCATGAATCATAGTAATATAATTGTTATTAATATTAAGGAATATGATTACTACTTACTAATACTCCTACTGCTGTAACTACTATTACGTCTATTACTTCTACTGCTACTATTACTGCTACAACTGCTACTACTATACTATAACTCCTACTCCTACTCTTACTACTGCAACTACTACTACTATAACTACTAACTAAACTACTACTACTACTAACTACTACTACTACTTACTATACTACTACTATACTACTAATACTACTGTATATTACTACTGTTACTAATATTACTTCTGCTACTGCTACTATTACTATTGCTACTGCCACAACTTCTGATGCGGCCGTTACTACTAATGCAGCTGTCACTTTACTGCAACTATTATTATTACTACTACTACTGCTACTACTACGACTAAGGAGGCAACACCGCTGCTGCTGCTACTACTATTACTACTACTACTATTAGTAAAACTACTATTACTACTACTACTACTACTACTACTACGGCTATGCTGCTACTAGTACTACTACTATTACTATCACAATTACCACTACTTTTGTTACTACTGCTATACTACAACTACTACTTCTACTTCTAATACTACTACCACAACTACTACTAAACTATTACACTGTTACTCCTCCTACTACTACAACTGCAAAACTGTTATTAATACCACTATTACTAATAGAACTACTGGAGCAACTACAGTTATTACTATTCTGTTCATTCTTTTTCTAGGGTTATTGTGTTGCTAATCGTTTACAGTATCCATTGAATAAATGAATGATAATGAGGATACTTAGTAATTGATTGTAGATGTACTGTTACGTTCTAGTGTGTATACGTAATTTACATAATTACATATGTCTTTGTGTATATTTTCTGAATGTAGTGTATCGTGGGAATTGTTATCGCTGTGAAGTATGTTTATGAGCTATGATTAATCTCTGTAGTATTTTCTCCAAGATCTATTTGCTATTTTGGTTAATCACGCAGGGGTAAGCAACTTAATTTTTTTCTAATGCAAGTTCATTATAAATCCAAAATATAAGATGAATATCTCATAGTATACCAGGTGAAAAAAAAAAAAAAAACATCTCTGGGTACCTCAGATGTGAGACGTGAAGTACAAGTTGTTCCTTTAATTTCTTGTGCGTGTTATGCCACTCTGACTTAAAATTAGTTTTTTAGGACTAATTTCCAGGGTTATAACATCACCTTGCCTTCTTCTGGTCTTCTATGAGAAAAAAGTATTTTTTTTTCTCATCAGAAACTCGCCATACTGATTTGTGTACAGGTGCCAGATGAAGTAATCAAACGTGGGTTTTCGTCCGTAGAGTTTAACCAAAATACAATTTCCGAGTGAGAGAATGTATGGAGTGCGTTGTTTTAAAGAGTGGATACAGGTCGTGTATACTGAACTGGAAGTCAAACTCGAGAACTCTACTATTGTTTTATTAAGGCATTTCTCCGCACCTTTAATGGTGAAAAAACTATGTACTTTAACGGGAGAGAAGGGAAAATGGAAGGATCCCTAGGGAAAGGGTAGAGGAGAGGAAGGAATCAAGAGAAGGGAAGAAGCAAGGTACTATATTACGGTACACACACACACACCACACGACACGCACACGCACACGCACACCACAGCACCACAGCCACACACACACACACAGACACACACACACACACACACACACACAACACACACACACACACACAACACACACACACACGCCACACACGACAACACGCCACACACACGCACACACACACACACGCACAACACACACGCACATGCACACACACGCACATGCACACACACGCACACCGCACACACACACACACACACCACACACACACACAACACACCACACACACACACGCACACGTGCACACACACGCACACGCACACACAACACACGTGCGGCGCGCGCGCACACAAACACACACACACACACACACACACACACAACACACACACACACACACACTCACCACACTCACACACACTCACACACAACACACACACACACACAACACACACAACACACACACACACACACACACACACAGCACACACACACACACACACACACATCACACACACACACACACACACACACATCACACACTCACTCCCCCCCCCCACACACACACACACACAATGAGTGTGTGTGTGTATGCATGTATTCATAAATCCATATATATGAGTATATACTTGAGAAACACAGAAGAATAAAAGAGAGAAGATATGATATCATGATAATAAACACAAGATGGAGATGCGCAAGATAAGAAAGGGGAATGGGACGAGGCCATAAAAGAAGGAGAAAGAAGTGCGACGTGAAGATTTATGAGAGCGACAAAGAAGATAAACGACGAGAACGAAAAGGGAGATAATAAACGAAACACAAACGAAAGTGGATTTGATAACGAGGAGGAGAGATAAGAGGGATAGAGGAGGGAAGTAGAGAAGAGAGAAGTAGAAGAAAGTAGAGAGAGTGAGAGAGCGAGAGAGCGAGAGAGCGAGAGCGAGAGAGCGAGAGCGAGAGAGTGAGAGTGAGAGTGAGAGTGAGAGTGAGAGTGAGAGTGAAGAGTGAGAGTAAAGAGTAAGGAGTAAGAGTAAGAGTAGAGAGTAAAGGAGTAAGAGAAGAGTAAGAGTAAGAGTAAGAGTGAGGAGTAAGAGTAAGAGTGAAGAGTGAAGAGCTGAGAGTGAGAGGAGAGAGAGAGAGAGAGAGAGAGAGAGAGAGAGAGAGAGAGAGAGAGAGAGAGAGAGAGAAGAGAAAGAGAGAGAGAGAGAGAGAGAGAGAGAGAGAGAGAGAGAGAGAGGGCGAGAGAGAGAGAGAGAGAGAGAGAGAGAGAGAGAGAGAGAGAGAGAGAGAGAGAGAGAGAAGAGAGAGAGAGAGAGAGAGAGAGAGAGGCGAGAGAGAGAGAGAGAGAGGAAGAGGGAGAGGGAGAGAGGGAGAGGAGAGGGAGAGGGAGAGGGAGAGGGAGAGGGAGAGGGAGAGGGGAGAGGGAGAGGGAGAAGGGAGAAGGAGAAAGGGAAGAAAGGAGAAAGGGGAGAAGGAGAAGAGAAGGAGAAAGGAGAGGAAGAGGAAGGGAGAAGAAGAGGAAGGGAGAAGAGGAAGAGGAAGGGAAGAGGAAGAGGGAAGAGGAAAGAGGAAGAGGAAGAGGAGAGGAAGAGGAGAAGGAGAAGGAGAAGGAGAAGGAGACGGGAGACGGAGACGGAGACGGAGAAGGAGAAGGAGAAAGGAGAAGGAGAAGGAGGAGAGGGAGAGGGAGAGGGGAGGGAGGGGAGAGAGAGAGAGAGATGAGAGAGAGAGGAGAGAGAGAGAGAGAGAGAGAGAGAGAGAGAGGGAGGAGAGACAGAGACAGAGACAGAGAAGGACAGAAGACACAGAGACAGAGACAGAGACAGAGACAGAGACAGAGACAGAGACAGAGATAGAGACAGAGACAGAGACAGAGACAGAGACAGAGACAGATATTAGATAGGAAAAAAAGAAAAAGAAAAAAAAGCATATTGAATAAAACAAGAAGAAAACATACTTAGTCAAGAAAGAAGAAGAGAAATCGGTGTTTACTCTGTCAACTCTGTGGCCTTCTCATATATTATGTTTACACGCATCTTTATCAACATTGCCCCATCTCCCCTCTTTTTTTCTCTCTCTCGCGATCGCACAACCGGGGAATCGAACCGAAGATAATCTTTTGGACAAACAACCAAGCGTTATGAAATACGTAAAGCAAATTTGTTCCGCAGCGGGGGAAGAGGGTGAAGGTAAACTATGGGGGAGGTATATGGAATGAGGAGGAGGAGGGAAGAGGGGAGGAGGAGGAGGGGAAGGGGAAGGAGAAGGGGAAGGGAGTGGGGGAGGGGGAGTAGGAGGGGAGGAGGAGGAGGAATGAGGAGGGGAGGGGAGGGAGGAGGAGGAATGGGGGAGATGGGAAGGGAGAGGGGGAGGGGGAGGAGGGGGAGGAGGAGGCGAAGTGGGGGAGGGGAGGGGGGAGGGGATGGGGATGGGGATGGGGATGGGAGGGGGAGGGGGAGGGGGAGAGGGAGGGGAGGGGAGGGAGGGGGAGAGGGAGAGGGAGTTGGAGGAAGATGAGAGGAGGAGGAGGAAGAGCAAGAGCAAGAGGAGAGGAGAGGAGGAGGAGGCGGCGGCGGCGGAAAGGTGTAAGGTGAAAAGGAAGGATGAAGAGTAAGAATAAAATTTAGGAAGATTTAAGAGTCAGGACTGAAAGTTTTGTTCCTGGCTTTGACGTAAAAATCTGAATGAATATAATTAAAAGTAACCTTATGATGGTTTCATCTTAATAGGGAATAAAAAGTCTCTCTGCCTCTCTCCTGCCTCTCTCTCTTCTTTCCTCTCTCTTTCTCTCTCTTTCTCTCTCTCTTCTCTCTCCTCTCTCTCTCTCTCTCTCTTCTCTCTCTTTCTCTCTCTCCCTCTCCTCCCTCCCTCCCTGCTCCCTGCCTCCCTGCCTC